AATTTTTTTAAAAAATAAAAGAAAAAATTTAAAAATCAAAAAAAAAAAAAAAAAAAAAAAAAAAAAAAAAATTGTTAAATTGAAGAAATTGTTCTCTCACTTTTTCTCTCTGTAATTGAATGAATTAATTGATGTGTTTCATTCACGTTTATAGATAGAGAGAGACAGTCTCTTATGGGCAATAAAACTCTCCACTTTTCATTAAAGTGGACAGTTATAAAATTGTCACTTCTCTATTGAGCCAATAGAATTTTAGTAGTATTAACTACTTTTAATTAATTTTTTAAAATTACATGGGACAAGTTTTCTAGACGATAGTAATGAAGAGAATGACTTAACATAATTTCACCAATGTTCCATTGAAGAATATCATTTCTCAAAGTTTTATTGGAACAAAAAAATAGATGGTTTGGTGGGGAGTCACATAATATACTATATGCATTTCAATCTTTTTCAAGCTTTATTAACCTGACATAAATGTATGGAGATAAAGGAAACTCTTTAATTAAAAAAAGGCGCATTAGCACATAAACCACGGACCACCACAGGAATGAATACTCTAAGAAGTTTCCGATTTCGAGTTCATTTATTTACATCTTTGACAGTAGTAATCCCCATCTCGGACAAGCTCTTTTCAGCTAATTATAAATTATAAAGTAGATGCATCTTATCTTGTATTTAAAATTACAAACTACTAAGATGTTTGGACAAAGCAAGTCCTAGAAATGGTGAGCACAAAGTGGAATAATCGTGAAAGGAAAATAATTATATTTTAAGTTGGTTGAAATCTATGTAACAGTCAAAGGAAAAATAATCATATTCTATATTGGTTAAAATGTAATAACAAGTGCACCTCATTATTCACCAAAACCATTCCATCAAAATTATTTACAAATATACTGGAATCCACTTCAGAAGTTGGATATTGGTTAGTCACATAACAAATAACTCAAGTAAGATTACACTGTAGAAGAAGAAAAGCATAATCTTAGATCAAAAGCCAATTTTCAAGCAAATTTTTCTGGAATCATTGACCTGATATTTAATTGGCTTGAGTAATAATTCTGCTGGTGGATTTATGCAGTTTACACCATGCAAGATCAGAAAGGAAAGTTTTATTAAAAGATTTTTCAATATGAAATTCAAAATTCTTTTCAATAACATAAAGCCCAGCACTTCTCTAAGAGCTACACTTGGAGTGTAAAATTACAAATTGCTGTGGAGAAAGAACTAACCTGTAAAGCTTAATGCCATTGAGTTAATAACCAGATGGTATATTAGATTCGGTGCAAAGATTAAAAAATAAAAGATATTCCTAAAATCAATTGTTACTCCTTGCCAATTCCTCTGTCAACTTTCTTTTGTCCTATTAATCGCTATTTATATTTTATGTGTCCTATACGGATAATTTGAAAAGCAACTCATAATTCTAATAAGATCTTGGATTATCATATTTTTGTAGGCATAACTTGTTTCATGATTTTAATCACTAATCAGTAATAAAGAAAACAAAATAAGAAACATGCACGAACACTTGTGGCGATTTATCCTCAATGTCAAATCTACATTCACTTGCAGCCATAAATTTTTCACTCTAATGACAAAGGATATAGTCAAATATATCTAAAACTTTAAATTATAGTCAAGTTCTTATGATATAGATTTTACTAATTTTGCTAGCATCAATAGAACGTTAAAAACATAATTAAAAATAAAACATAAGATTGAGATAGGATGAGTATGAAATATAAGAATTTAAAGCGGTCTAACAATTGGGTCTACGTACGTAAACCCACTTCAATTTTTTAAGTACACGAGCAAAAGAAGAATACAAAATACATTTTCTAATTTTTCTTGCCTATCTAGAGTCTATTGATATGTCTAAATCTTGTCTAGTTTCATTATTTGAATTCTGTTACCTTGCTGTTTTTTTAATCTGTCAAGCTGATTGATTTTCACGTGAGTTTTGGTCCCATCTATTAATTAAATCTTTCAGACCCGTTGCTTTATCCATCCTCAAAGAAACTAAGGGACCCAAATCATTGGTCACCGCTTTACCAAACTTTATTTTTCCAGAGGAAAAGAATTTTGCAAAGGGGTGGTTGGAGAACCAAGGGGAGCTCATCTAGTCTTTTCCCTCTTCTCCTTTTTTTCCCCCCTCAATGAATGCATGTATTTGCTCTCACTTTAGGGGTGTATTTAATTAGGATTTTTTAAAATTTTGATAGATTTTTTTTTAAGTGACGACTTCTTTGGATTTCATAGGTCTTTTATAAATTTGTATGGAATTAGTGGAAATCTTTCGTAAACTTCAATGGACTTTCATTTTAAAATTTTTATAAACTTTTGTAGAATGTAAATGACTTTTGAAAACTTTCATCGGAAATCAAATTCACGTGGATCTAACACAATGGTATGAAGTTCTCACATATAAGATGCTGGTTCCGACAATTTCTCTTTTCCTTCATAAAAATTTAAAACCTTAATTAATTAAATAATAATCAAATTATATATATATAGTATCCTTTTAAAATAAATAAAAATCAATATATTTAAATTTAATTATAAATTTTTCATATAAAATTTTATAATTTAATAAAAAAAATAGATTTTTTTTCACAAAAATGGTTGAAAAAAGAAAAAAAAGTTACAAGAATCCAATTTAATTTTTTCATAGAAAATAAAGATAAATAATAGGAGAGAAAGAAAGATAAATAGAAATAAATATAATTAATACAAAATAAATTTTAATAATACCTCTAATATTTGTAGAAGAAAAAAGGAGAAAAATTTGAAAAAAAAAAAAAACTCCGAAAATCTAGTAATTAATGATAGACAAATTTTCAGATTTTATATGAGTATTTTTCGCTTAAAAGTTAGCACTCCAAAGACTTTTATAAAAATCTCTAGAAATAATTAAAATTTGAATACCCAAAAACTTATAGAGACTTCTAAAAAGTTTTAATTGAGTACACAACAACTTTTAAATACTTTTTAAAACTTTATAAAAATCTCAATTGAATACACCGTAACTTTTAGATACTTCTTAAAAGTCTCAACAATCATGTTATAAGTACAGACAATTTTGACAAAAAATATTTACAAACAACACTTGGCATGTATTCATTGGAAGATGAAAAAAATTAAAAAAGAAACAAGTGAATCACATTTTACCAAGTCAGCTTTGGTAATAAATCTATCAAAAAATTTCTGGACTTGAGGCTCTTTTCAAGTCTCAATTGAATATATCAATATTTTTAGAGAGTTTCCAAAAGTCTATATTGAATACTCCTAAACTTTTTAAATCACAAAAAGTCATTAAAAGTTTCAATTGAATACACCTTAAGTGTTGACTAGTTATTGTCATTTCAAATTCAAAAACAAAGATTCGTGAATGTTACGAATCTATTCAATCAAGAGACGAGTAATAGTTCCAAAATCGAATATTATTTTCCTTATTAGTGAAGAGTAGAACTATAGAAGAGTTTCAATATGGATCTCGTGCACACCCAAAAGCATCAAGAAGTGTTAAGACTTGGGGTCCATTTTAATAAGGTCAACCTTGTTAAGAGGAATAGTTCAAGATCTTTTTAAGTTGGTTAATATTTCGGTATTTAACCGATGTGAAATTTTTATTCTTTAACATGCCCCCACAAGATGGTGGCTCGTTTGAGTAGACCAATCTTGAAATTGGCGTGTTCATTTTTAGAGTTTTAATCGGATCGAATTGCTCATTGGAGTTTAATGGGCTCTAATACCATAATAAAGTTTGATGAATAGAGGTATTGATGAAGAGGATTATTATAATTTTTACATCCTTCCTTCATCAATACCTTTGTTTATCAAACTTTATTAAGAAGTATCAGAGTCAGTAAATACATTTAGTTTAAGTCTTACCAACACGTATACAATTATGAAAATTTTGCACTTTTCAATCCATTGTAAAGAAATGAACTCTGGTTGTACCACGAATTTTGATTCTCTCTTGTCTTGAGGTGAAGTTTGGTGTATTCAAATGAAACTAAACAACAAGGGATGTTAGAAACACTTGGCAGTAATCAAAGTCATTAAGAGATTTGTAACAGGCTTTCGCCAAATTTGTGTCAAAACCATGGTTAAAACATACAATTCACTCTTTTTGAGTTATTGCACATCAGTTTTGCAGCTAGATTGCTCTTTAACGAGCATTATGTTACAATTAGTCTCTTCAAGTCAGTATGTCTAACGGGACTTCCTTGTGGAAGAAAAGCTTGCTCTTTATTATAGCTTTCACAATTAATTTAATACAACTCACTTTTCATATGCTTTGTCAAGTGAAAACTCTCTGTCTTTGGTGCTAGCCAACATGGACTTTTCGGCATCTATGTTTTTAGAATTTTTTTTTAATTTTTTTTTTGGGGGCATTTTAAGAATCAAATCACATCAACCTAGACCAGAACCAACCAATATAATTCTAAAAAAATCTCATCAAACTAAATTTGATTCTGCAAGAGATTCGGTAGGAAGGAAGAAACTTCGAACAAAAGGGTTAGGAGATTGGATCTAACCGTAAGAAGAATGCTTGGTATAAATAACTCACTTCTTAGAAATGAGTTTGTTCTGGCTCTTGAAAATCTCGAATCGAACCACTGGATATCCAATCTTATTTGTTCTCATTTATGTTCATTATGTAATACAAGTAGTTGCTCATTCACTCACACAAGTAGTACTTGCAAATTTAATTTTGTGCAAGATCTGGTAATAGAAGTCTTCCCATATTTTTGACTTACAACTTTTACTCTTCTGTTGCATATAATTCTAGAGGTTAGGTTGAGATATCTCCCTCCATTTATATTAATTTTTCTAATCCGTATGACCATAGATGAGATTGTTGAGTTTAATCCAAATTTATAAAATAGAAAAGTTCTATTATGGAAATGAAGAGAGAATTCTTGTCTGGCAAGAAAAAGAAAAAAAAAATGGAAGTTTGTTAATTAAAGAGAAATGACTCCTAATAGTACAATTCAGAAAATGATATTGAGTAAATTTAGGACTAAGAACCCCTCTCTTCAATAAATATCCTTATATGGATGAACTAAATAGCATGACAACAAACATCGAAAATGATATTGAGACAACCATATTTTCACCAAAGTTAGAGAGAGAAGCATAGAAAAGAAAGCAAAGAATAAAATTGCTATAACCATTTGTGAAGAAAAAGTAAAGAATAAAAATTGGGATAACCATTTTAGAAAAGAAAGCAAAGAATAAAAATCGCTATGACCATTTGTGAAGAAAAAGTGAAGAATAAAAATTGGAATAACCATTTGAGAAAAGAAAGCAAAGAATAAAAATTAAAGAACATAAATTGGCATAACCATTTTAGAATAACCAAACAACTGCAAACTGCATTCAGTAAATTTGTCTTTTCTTTCTCTCCGAAATCAGTAAGTCACACACACATCAAAATCCCAAAGCAACACAATGGATGCTGTTATTAGTGCCACCATTCAAGTCACAGTGGAGAAGTTGCTTGCATCCGCCACTGCAGAGTTGAGCCTGGTGTGGGGTTTCAAGAAAGACTTAGGAAAGCTAAGTGATTCGCTAAAAATGATCAAAAAAGTGTTGGAAGATGCTGGGAAACGCCAAGTTACCGAGGAGGCTGTCAAACTCTGGCTCAATAACCTTCAAGATGTTGTTTATGATGCTGATAATGTCTTGGATGTGATCAACTATGAAAATTTGCATCGAGAGATCCGGAGCCAGAAGATGTCAAAAGTGTGCTTAAACTTCTCTTTCTATAGGCCTTTGGCATTCCGATGGAAAATTGCTCATAAAATCAAGGAGATAAATGTCAACTTCGAGGGTATAAACAAACGAGCTAATGACCTTGGCCTTCGGAAAGTTGTTGACATTTCTCTCTCTTTGCCTCTGGTTATGGAAACTGATAGCATAGCTGATGATCCAATTGTCGTGGGAAGAAAGGATAATGAAGCAGAAATTTTGAAGCTGATAACCGACACAAACGATGCGGATATTTCAGTCCTTCCCATAGTTGGAATGGGAGGGCTAGGCAAGACAACCTTAGCTCGATCGGTCTTCAATCATCAAAGCACAAAGAGTCTTTTGGACGAAAGGATCTGGGTATGTGTTTCTGAAAATTTTGATGCGATAACGCTTTTTAAAAGGATTCTGGAATCCTTAAGAGAAAGTTCTCCTGGAGCCAGCAGGCAAGCTGTTGTGGATAAGCTTCGAGAGAAATTGGGAGGCAAAAAATACTTACTTGTTCTTGATGATATTTGGAATGAAAACAGGCAATTTTGGGATGATTTCAAAAATACTATGGCTGGAGTTAACCCCAATAAGGGAAATGTCATCATGGTGACTACACGTCATCTAGAGGTAGCATCAATTGTGAAAGCTTACAGAGATCCATACAACTTGAAACAATTAAAAGATGATGAGTGCTGGTCTATAATCAAAGCGAGGACCTTTCGAGATGCAGAAGTACCAGGACAATTTGAGCAAGTTGGGAAGGAGATTGCTTGCAGATGTGGAGGTCTACCATTAGCAGCAAACATGGTCGGTGGAACTTTGCAAGGAAAGCAAGTAGATGATTGGGATTCAGTTCTAGCGATCGGGATTTCAAATCTTGATCATGAAGCAAATCACGACAGTATGATGCAAATCTTAAAGATAAGTTTTGATCGTTTATCTTCTCCATTACTTAAAAAATGTTTTGCCTATTGTTCAATATTTGCCAAAGATTCAAAAATAGAGAGAGAAGATTTAATCCAACTCTGGATGGCGGAAGGATTTCTTCCGGATAATCATGATAATAATATGGAGAATTTGGGGAATTCATGTTTTAACATTTTGTTGCGAAATTCGTTTTTCCAAGAGGTTGAAAAGGATGATTATGGAAATATCGAATATTGCAAGATGCATGATCTTGTGCACGATCTTGCATGCTCAGTTTCAAATTCAGAAAGCTTTGTTGTCGAGGATAGCTCTACTGATGACATTCCCAAAGTTAGATACCGTGCAAAGCAATTGCTAGAAAGGGAAACACGAGCATTCACAAAAGAGAAAGCAAGTTATTTGCGCACATTATTCTCCAACAACAGCTTACCTGGCAAAAAATTGCCATGGTTCAAGCACCTGCACATTCTAAAGTTATGTGACCAAGACATTGAAGAATTGCCAAACTCTATTAGAAAGTTGATACATTTGAGATATCTTGATGCATCCGGAAATTATAGAATGAAAACTTTGCCAGATTCGATTTGCAAGCTCTATAATTTGCAAACATGAAGGATTGTGACATGCTTCGAACTTCAACGGCTTCCAGATAGGCTATGTGACTTGAGAAATTTGAGACATCTCTACTTTTATTCTTATGAGAGAGATTTCCAGATGCCGCCTAAAATCGGAAAATTGTCTCGTCTTCAAACATTGCAGTTTTTTAATGTGGGTGACAAGGAAGGCTGCCGAATCGAAGAGCTAGGATTTTTGAAGAATCTAACAGGCAAACTGGAGATGCGTAATCTTGAACTAGTGAATGGTATAGAAGAAGCTAAGAAGGCAGATTTGGTTGGAAAGCCAAAGATATATAAGTTAAGTTTTATGTGGACAACATACAATGTCTCGGAAGACAACAACAACGATAAAAATGTCCTCGAAGGGCTCCAACCTCACCCGAATTTGAAGAGCATGACAATTGTAGGGTTCAGAGGCATGAACTTCCCATCATGGACTATGAGAATGGAAGTGTTTCTTGATGGCAATGGTTGGTTAAAACTTGATAAATTGATCGAGGTCAATTTCACAGATTGCAAGAATTGTGAAGAAATTCCCATGTTTGGCCACCTACCACACCTCAAATATCTTTCCTTAACGGATTTGACTAACGTAAGATCCATAGGTCATTCATTCTATGGTGGCCAAGAGACAAGAGTAATGTTCCCAAAACTTGAAAAACTCACTCTAGGGAACATGCCAAACCTAACAGAGTGGGCAGAAGCTGAGGTGATGGAAACGGCACAAACACGAACATGCAAAGAGCAGGTATTTCCTTGCCTTGAAGTTTTGAAGATTCAACGTTGCCACAAATTGAATACTTCTCCAAGTCATTTCCCTTGCTTGAAAAAATTGGAGATTGATGCTATGGATAGCGATTTTCCATTGACAAAGATTTTGAGTAGCAGCAACCTAACTTCTTTGGAAGAGCTCTCGATCGAGAATATATCAACGCTCACTTGTCTTCCCCACTTGAAAGGAAGCCAGATATATCTCCGAAAGTTGTATATTGGAAATTGTGACAAATTGAGAGAATTACCTGATGATCTGCACAGCTTCCGGTCTCTTGAGTGTTTGAGTATATCTGGATGTCCAAGTCTACAATCAATTTCATGTCAAATCGGACAAAAAGGTCCCCCTTCTCTTCGACGGTTTGAAATTATTAATTGCTCTGATTTGAGTAGCCTGCCAAGTGAAATGATTCAGTCCATCAGGTGTCTGGAGTATCTACTCGTGATTAGCTGCGACAAACTCGTTTCTTTTTCTACAGACTTGGGGATAATGCCTTGTATCTCAAATTTATCTATAGCAAATTGTGAATTGAGGAGTTTACCCAAGGGAATTGGCGGTCTTAGCAACTTAACAGAACTCTCCATTGCTAGATTCTCAAAATCAATTGATTTCAATTCATTCCAAGCTGCTCTCGACGGCATCCAACAATCCAAATCTCTTCGGAATTTGACTTTATATGGTTGGGAACATTGGGACTCATTGCCGTACCAGCTTCAACATCTCACTTCGATCGAATGGTTGAATTTAGGTGATTTTGGAATTGAAGCATTGCCAGAGTGGTTTGGGGGTCTATCCTCTCTTAAATTATTAAGACTGGATCACTTAAAAAAGCTTAGGCATATGCCCTCTAAAGAAGCCATGCAACGTCTCACCATGCTAAAAAGTTTATATGTTTCTGACTGTCCATTGTTGGAGAAGAGGTACAAGGAAGAAAGATGCCCTGATTCTGAGTGGTCAAAGATTTCACATATTCCTAACATAATGAGTGGGTCGACATGGTTAAAGAGGCATGATATGCTGATATAGTTGGTAAGTAATTGAGCAAAAACCACTTAACTTTTCATTATTTGTTTTTATTATACATTATAATGTTTAACTGTATGTTGTAAATATAAATTAAATATGCCTAAGCAGTGTTATTAATTGGCAAATCATCTTGTCTATTTCACATTTTTACACTTTTAGGTTGCTCTCTTTTTGCTCACTACTGCAATTTATTTTGCCTTCTTTTTTACTTGCTACTAAATGAAACTCTATTTTTATATGAAAAATAGAAGAAATACTTCCACATCGAGAAACCTATCCCTAAATAAGTAAAATTAGAAAAACATTCCAAAAAATAGGAATTGTGACGAATATTGAAAGGCTAGTTCCCTCAACTTTGATTCGTCTCCAAACTTTAAATTGACATTGAAGATTTAATTCAAATTTGAGGATGAATCAGTATGAGATATTGAACATTGAGGACTATCCTGATTCACAACATCCTTAATATATCTAGTTGTAACACCGGCGTAAATCACTCAGGTATATATAATATTTTAAGTGATAAATTCCTAATTTAGCAAAACGACAACGGACAAGTTTGGTAGAAATGAATAACTCAAGGTTATTTCTGTCAATACGAAAAAACGCTGCAGAGTTGAATAAGGCCACTGTCCACTCCCTTCACCCACCCAAAACCTCCACAAAACTCCATATATAGCCATTATTCTGTTCCTCTGTATTCCATCATCTTCATATATGTACAGATATATACATAGAGAGATAGAGAGAATATTGAAGTACCAACGAACAGGTCACATTTCTAATGAAATACACAAAACGATTATTTATTGGTAAAGACTCGGCCACATTAGAATTATGAACCTTTAATACATTCTTATTCCCCCTTTTTTTCAAGAGAATAGGATTATCCATTACTCTTCTCGTTATTTGATATTAATGTGGATTTCCAGTAATTTCCTACAGTTTTTAGCAATTTGATAGTAGATCGTTTAATCTCTGAGTAACCCAATTCATTTTGATTTCTAGTAATTGTAGGCCTTTTAAATTTCACAATTTTCAGTAGTATTTTGGACGAAAATCGATTGTATCAAATCTGACTCTGCTGATTTATGGAAATCTTGAAGTGGGTTCTATTGATTTTTGTTAAGTGTGGCTTCTTCACATACTTAATTTGAAACCACTGAGCCTTTAGATTCGTGTTTTCGTGTATATTGGACTATATTTGGACATAATTTTTAGGAAATTACAGTTCAAAATCCCTTGCAGAGTGTTTGGGTAATTGGGTTGGTGCAGATGGGAAGATCATTACTTTATGAGATATGGGAAAAACCAGCTACAAGTTGTATAATAGGAATATGTAATGCAATATGGTTCTATATACAGAAGAAGAACATTGGGTATTCACATGTGGGTTTAAGTTATGATACTGCAGTGTAAGGTCACCACTGGAGGATAATAACATCAGCTTATCACATATTGGTGTTCTTCATTATTCATTAGTATTGATTGTTTTTTCAGGAATGCTAGTTCTGGGGACATGCCATGTTTTGATCCAAAAGTTCAAGATAGACTATTTTAGGAGAGTGATTGCAGTCTGGTATTCTGTTGGGTGGATGACAATTTTGTCGGTGAAATGGACTTCATCTAAGTTGAATCTCTTTTGATTTCTCTATAAGTTTTGCTCCATTTTGAGTTTCTCATCTTTAAGTCTATAATTGTTCCCCAAGCGAGTTTCCGGTGACAGATTCTTCTATACCATCTGTGTATTTCTTAGCTTCAGGGGACGATAAAACCTTGCAGATGAGCACATTGCCATATTTCAGTACTGATCTTATCTTGCTTGTGGGAGAAATATTGTTCTACCATGTGCATTTGTACTTAAATACTTCGGATTTATCAGGTCATTTAACAAATGTTGTGATAAGGTGTCGCTTCTGGGAGGCTACTTTTACTGCTTTTTAGATTAGCATAAATCTCAAACGTCTTATGACACCGTATGGAAGAGTCACCCCAGCTGCTGAAACCTTGTTTGTATTATAAACTAAGTCTCACTCCATATAAATGTGGGATTGACTACTTGTGTCATTTTTTGTCCTCTTCATTCATTTTGTCACTATATCTACCCATATGGATATTTTGTCATAAGACCTGATCCCTATGAGGACCCACCCACAAATGGGACAAAGATTTCCCTCTTAATCGGGTTGGTGGAATAGGGATGGAGCAGAAAATTCTATCACGAGAGGCGTGTTGGTAGGAACAAGGGATGAGATCTCCACTCCAAACCTGTCCCAAATTATTTATTTTGATATAGCCTTTGTTTGGTCCAATTATTTTCAAAATATATTTTTTTTCTTTTATTTTTAACCACATGTTCAATAAAATAATATTACACACAAATCTAAATTTTTTTCTTATTTTTAAATTATACATTAATTCTCCATCAAAATACTATTCCAAAATATATATTGAACAAAAATTGGGGCTCAAACAGTTATATAATATAATTGTTTATACAAACAATACATTTAGTTAATTGAAAAACGTTAAATTGAAGGCCAAAAAATCACTTATGGTCTATTTAATGATAGTTTTTTTATTAAAAATATGTTCACATCTCTTTTTTATGGACCATTTTTTCAACCTGAACCAGTCCCTAATTTTTCTCTTGCTCAACATTCAACCATATAACAGCATGTGATCATCAACCTTTCATAGCTTTGATTTCTGGTCATCATAATTGGTTCTGGAGTCATATATTATAGGGTGGCTAGTGAGTGTGTTTGTACATTTTTTATGGCATTGTTCTTCAGTCTTATGTATTTTCTTTCTCAAATAAGAAATTTAGGGAGCCTGACTTGACATACCCGTGCTTATTCCAATGCATAATAAAGGTAAAATTTATTACGTTTTTATAGGGAATATTGAACAAAACTAGAAAAGAAGGAAAGAAAAATTCGGCCAGTAATACTTTATAGTGTTGTAGAATCCAAAATTGCATCCCACATGAAAAGTAAAACAAGGGGAAAAACATTACCGAATTCATTATAGGACGCAATTTCATTGTCATTCATAAATATAAACATAAATAGACTTTTAGAAGAACTAAAATTTGGCAACTACAAATGAAAGAATTTTGAAACTATTGAATAACGATGAAGACATAAGAATCATGCTAAA